TTTTTTTTTTTTTTTTTTTTTTTTTGTAAAAATTACACTTACTGGCTGGCGTTGAATAATCTCCTTCTTCGTCCACGATTTCCGCGTAATCCTCCGACAATATAGTTCCCGTTTTGCTCACGTTTTTCTCTGGACTATTGGAACCATCTTGTCTATACTTTGGTGGATGAGCATCTATATTTTTAAGGCGAAGCATACAATCAATAATCGCGAATATATCAATCGTGGTCCTCATGCAATTATTCTAAACGAGACAGTAAACTACGGGATCATTCAAAACTACAAACCTTTGCATGGACAGGGATAGTTTTTCCACGATGCAGCTTGGAAGTGTAAACGATTATAACTTAGTACCTTTTATACAACGTAAAGAGGATTCGTGCGAGATATATGGGATATGATATACATGATTTCATTATAAAAGTACGATGAGAACTAAACGTTTTGCTTACGTTTATAAATAAAACAAGTTTCTATAGTTGGCCGAATACTATCACGAATGCCGGTAAAAGCTAAAGGAAATGTTCGTTGCATCAACATCGAGATTGTTAGCTTGAAGATGCCAACATACTAAGAGGATAAATATCAAGATAAAGAAACAAACAAGTTAAAATTTAAATGGCAAGTGATAACAATTTCTTTGCAGCATGCCAGTCTTTACGGCTGGTTAATAAATTTTATTCAAACAATGCCGTACCTTTCCTGTTCCATAACGAGGTATTGCTTCCAGTAACTAGCCTACAGTACCCGTCGATTAAATCCGCCAGACTCTCTGCTTGGTCTAGGCTCGAGCAAGTTATACTAAGCGTTTCCGCCGCCCCAGCTACTCTTAATTTAATACACGCCTTTGCGTGTTCCTTACAGTCTGATACCAGTGTTTGTATAGACTGTATTTGACAGAACTCGGCCATTCTCATTGGCTATGGAAGAAATTTAACGTTACCAATAAAATATCGTAACATCTTTGACGAATTTAATTAATGCATCAATCAGATATTTACCACCGTTCCTCCTCTGTGTGCCATGTGAGATATACCCAAATCTGGTCCAATGACTAGTTCTACAGGTATAGACCAGCTTGACTATAATGCACAACGATAAGAAAGGAGTAATTTTATA